GAAGTCAAAAGTATAGGGGAAAGGAAGGGTTGTGTCAGAAGGGATGTGGGGATGGAGGATTTCGGAAATTTTATTGAAAAAATTGGAGGGTTAGACTTACCAATGCTGGGCAGAAGATACACCTGGGGTAGTTCTCAGGATGGTGATAGGTGGAGTAGAATTGATAGGTTCATTTTAAATCCTGAGTGGCTTGAATCTTTTAGGTTCAAACTTTGGGGTTTGCCTAGATCCTTGTCTGATCACTGTCCTCTGTTGCTAATGGAGGATGAGAGGGATTGGGGTCCTAGACCCTTTAGATTTATTAACTCTTGGGCTATGCACACCAGCTTTTATCAAACAGTGAAGCAAAATTGGGAGCACTTAAATTTGGAGGGCTAGGCAGGTTACATCCTAAAGAAGAAGTTACAAGCTCTTAAACTGTGTCTGAAAAAATGGAATAAGGAGGTATTTGGTAACATCAATGAAAATCTCAAGGAGAAGGAAGCTGAACTTCACTCATGGGACTTGCTAGCTGAGGTTAGAACTCTCCAAGTTGATGAATCTGCTAGAAGGATGGAATTATTAGGGGAAGTTTGGAAATTGAGAAAGATGGATGAGAGATTATGGTTACAGAAATCTAGGCTTATCTGGCCATTGAAATGTGATAAGAACACCAGGTTCTTCCACATTACTGCCACAAACCGACATAACAGAAATTCACTTGATTCAATAGAAATCAATGGGATCTCAGTGGTGCAACCTGTTGAAATCAAAACTGCTGTGATGAATCATTTCAAATTACTCTACTAAGAGCATTGGAAGTGTAGGCCTAAACTGGGAGGCCAATTTAATTCCATTAACATGCACAATAATGCATCAACCATGCTGGAAAGTGCCTTCTCTGAAGAGGAAGTTTGGGCTGCTATTAAGGACTGTGATGGAAACAAAGCCCCAGGTCCGGATGGCTTTAATCTGTCCTGTTTCCAAAAATGCTGGAATTTTATGAAACATGACATTTTAAACTTTATGAAAGAATTTCATGAGAATAGTACTTTGGCCAGGGGTCTTAATTGCTCATTTGTGAGTCTTATCCCCAAAAAGGATAATCCTGTATCTCTGTCTGACTTCAGGCCCATCAGCTTGATTAGTTCCATATACAAAATCCTTTCTAAGGTACTAACCAAGAGACTGAAGCTTGTTTTGCCTAACATTGTGAATGAAACACAATCTGCATTCATTGGAGGTAGAAATATAATGGATGGAGTGCTAATTGCTAATGAGATTGTAGATTGGTGGAAAAAATCAAATAAGCAAGGGGTGATCATTAAGCTTGACTTTGAAAAAGCCTATGACACGGTGAATTGGGAGTTCTTGTTTGATTTGCTTGCAAAGTTTGGTTTTGGTTCAAAATGGCTGGGTTGGATGAAAACTTGCTTATCAACTACAAGTATTTCCATCCTTGTCAATGGCTCACCTACTGATGAAATCCAACCGGAAAGAGGTCTCAGACAGGGCGATCCACTCTCACCCTTCCTCTTCAATATTGTAGCAGAGGGGTTGAATATCTTACTATCAAGAGCCAAGGTTATGGGCTTAATTAAAGGTGCTAATGTTGGACCTAATGGGCTGGAATTCACTCACCTGCAATTTGCTGATGACACCATTCTCTTTTGCGAGGCAGATTTAATGGAAATCACAACTTTAAAGAGGATACTTAGATGTTTCGAGATTATGTCAGGCCTGAAAATTAATTTCCACAAAAGTGTTGTTTGTGGTATTGGAATCTCTGAGACTTTAGTCAATGACTTCTCATCAAAACTGAACTGTCTCACTCAGAAGCTACCATTGAAGTATCTTGGTCTCCCACTTGGTGCCAATCCTAGAAGGAAAGCTACCTGGAAACCTGTTCTGGATAAATTTAAAAGTAAACTTTCTGGATGGAAAAAAAGACTTTTATCGTTTGCTGGTAGACTCACCCTTATTAAGTCAGTTTTATCAAACCTCCCAATCTTCTACCTTTCCCTGTTTAAAATGCCAAAGGGTGTAATCAAAGAGGTGGATAAAATTCAAGTTTCTTTTCTGTGAGGCGACACCGAGGTCAAAAGAAAGGTCCACTTGGTCAATTGGAAGGTTGTCTCTATGTCAAAAAATCAAGGAGGATTAGGTGTTAGAAGTTTGGGTCAAGTTAATGAGTGTTTACTTGCTAAATGGTGGTGGAGGTTTTGTAATGAAAAACAAGCCCTATGGAGAAGATTGATCTGTTGCAAGTACAGTAGCAGATCCGGTAGTTGGTTTCACTCCCAAGGTACTATCACTAATTGCTCTTGGATCTGGAAGGACATTATGGGTTTAGCTGCTGATAACCCTACCTTACTCAATTATTTCTTGGTTAACTCAGAATTGGTTGTTGGTAATGGGGCCAATATCTCATTCTGGAAGGATGGTTGGCTAGGTGGTGACTGTCTTCAATCCCTCTTTCCTAGACTATTTTGTCTTTCTTCGGATAAAGATGGTTCTCTTAAAGATTTCATGGATAGAAAAAGTAGCTACCCCAACTGGAACTTAACCTTTAGGAGACCTTTGTTGGCTTGGGAAGAGGAGGAAGTCCAAAATTTGCAGGTCCTACTGGGTAATGGGCCATTATTAAGGCATGAGGTGGAGGATGGTATGAGATGAAAAGCTTCAAATCAGGGTGCCTTTAGATCATGTGACTTATTCTGTTGGTTGCAGTCTAATAGAGGTCCAGTTGTGTCCATGCCTAAACTTATCTGGAATAACATCACACCACCAAAAGTTCAATTTTTTTCTTGGCTGGCTTGGAAAGGCAGAATCAAAACATCTGTGTTCCTTCATAGCATTGGTGTTCTTAGAGGCGAGGCTGTTACTCAGTGTCACTTTTGCAGAGAAGAACCTGAGTCCCTTAACCATGTATTACTCCTTTGCCCCTTTACCTGGAAAATTTGGTCTGACATTATAGATTGGTGGGGTTTTCACTGGGTATGTCCAGGCTCTGTGGTGGCCTTATTTGATTGGTGGATTGGCACTAAAATCAGGAAGAAGGAACTCCAAATATGGAAAGCCTTACCACTTGCTGTTTTATGGTCAATTTGGAAGCTCATGAATGATTGTGTGTTTAATAGTGCTCAACCTAACTCCCTGCAGCTTTGTGAGCTTATCAAGACTAGAATTGCCATTTGGTTGAAGAGTCACTCTTTTGGGAACTCATACTCTTATTCCATTCATGATTTTATTTTTAACTTCAACCAGACCAGGAGGTGCATTTGATGAATTCTGCTTCTGTTGAGTGCTCTGTGTGTGTGTTCTGCTTCTGTGTGTGTCTTCCCTTCTTGGTTGAGGTAGTTTGCTGTGATTCCAAGAGTAATTTCTGTGTGTATTCTGCTTCTGTTGTGTGAGCTCTACTTCTGTGTTCTGCTTCTGCATTGTTCCTGGTGTGATTCTGCATTGTTCCTGGTGTGATTTTGGGGCATTTGGCTTCTGAGGCACCTTCCTCAATTCTGTGATCTGCTACAGTGTGTGTTGTTTGCTGGCTGATAGTGCCTTGGTCTGCAGTTGCAGATGCTGTGGCTCTAGATTTTGCACAGATGGTAGAGAGATTGAAAGTCAGAGGGTGTATGACATAGGATTATGGATGGTCTGTTACTAGTGCGAAGGTGGAAGGTGTCTGTCACCAATATTTGGAAGGTGGAAGGTGGAAGCTGGTCTATGCAGATTGATAGTCATGCTGATGTAGGATGCTGGTCTGATCTATCTGTGAAGGTAAATCTGGCCCCAGTGTTGCTCCCTTGGATTAATCTGTCTGTTGGTCTGAAGCTATGTGCTCTACTGTGCTCCCTTGGAATTATTAGAGGTTGAAGCTGCTGTGTAGTTTGTATCAGTATGGAGGTTGAGGGATTATGCTCAAGGCAGAATTGTGGCTGCTACTGTGTGGTTTGGTTTGTATCATGCTTGGTTCTGGTGCATTGCTAATCTACTAATCTGGTCTTTTTATTGGAGGATGGCATTGATGCTCTGCAGTTGGAATGGTCTGAGGCCCCTCCAGTTTGAGTTTGTACTCTAGAGAAAGATCATGCTCTGCTGTGGCTGCTGCTGTGTGGATTGTATCATGTTGCTTTAGTGGTAGATCATGCTTATGCTTCTGTTTAGTCAATGTATATGTGGCTGGTCTGGTTTTCTTATTTTCTTTTCTCTTTCTCTTGCTTTCTCTCGATTGGTTTCTCGCCAATCTTGGGTCAAGTGCTAGCAGATGATTTTGCTTCCTTAGCGATGCCAACCTAGATGGGATTGTTAGGGCCAGCGGTGATGCTTTTGCACTTCCCTCTTTATTGATGTAAGTTTTATACTTGTTCTGCTTTCTTCATCAATAAAGTTCTCTTTTGCTTATCAAAAAAAAAAAAGTGTTCTGGTAATGTTGGTGTAATTGTAATGGGTTCTTATTTCACATTTGGAGTTTTAGTGTGTTATATTGATTGGAGTGTTACGTTTGAAAAAAGTATACTAAGAAGTTTTTTAGTGTGTTATATTAATTTGAGTGTTATTTTTAAAAAAAGTACACTAAGGAGTTTTTTGAAGTGTTACGTTGTTAAGTTTGAAAAAAGTATACTAAAGAGTTTTTTAGTGTGTTACACTGAAGTATTACATTCTTATTCCTAATGTGGGATTTGTTCCAGAATGAGGGAAAACCCAAAACATCTATAGTGTGGATTGCCTAAATGTATAATTTTATATTTAACAAAACTCAATTTTATTCCTAAAAATTAAACCTAAAAGTGTAACTGACTATCATTTTATGTAATTTCTACTTTAATGAATTTTTTGGGTTCATAATAAAAAATAAAGAATTAAACAGTTTATAAAATTACATTTTGAAGTTTATTGATAATTTGTCATAATAATTATTACCCATTACGTGGAAATTAGCAATTATTTTAAAAAAATAATAATAAATAAAATTGATGATGACAATCCTTAACCTAAAGCAATGTCAAGACATAGAAGTCAAACACTTCCTTCTCTCTCTCTCTCTCTCATATCCTAAACCACCTTCTTTTTCAGATTCATGCTCTGGATCTGAAGCATGTGCTCCTCAGAAGAAACCCAAGACTCCGACACAAAGCCTCTCACCTCCGGTGACTACTCCTCCTCAGACCAATCTCCAACCACCAACCCAGATCACAAAAACCCCTCAAAACCCAACCCATTAATCTCACTCATCCTCGAGCCATTCCAATGGCTCCAAATGCTCTCAAACCAGCTCAGCCCGAGCTTCGTGGTCGGTGTAGTCCTCGTCTATGGCGTCAGCCAAGGCTTCTCCGGTTCCTTCTTCCGAGTGGCCACCGACTACTACTGGAAAGATGTACAAAAAGTGCAACCATCCTCAGTGCAACTCTACATAGGTCTCTACTACATTCCATGGATAATGAAGCCAATTTGGGGTCTGTTGACCGATGTTTTTCCGGTGAGAGGGTACCAGAGGAGGCCTTACTTCGTGCTGGCCGGAGTTCTGGGGACGGTGTCGGCGTTGGTGGTGGCTCTGGGTGGTAAGTTGGAGGTTGCAGTGGCGTTGGTGTGTTTGATTGGGATTACTGGTGGGGTGGCAATTGCTGATGTTACTATTGATGCTTGTATTGCAAGAAATAGTATTGAGATTAAGTCTTTGGCTCCAGATATGCAGAGTCTTTGTGGGTTTTGCTCTTCTGTTGGTGCTCTTGTTGGTTACTCTACTAGTGGTTTGTTTGTTCATCATCTTGGAGCTCAGGTCATCTCTCTCTCTCTCTCACACACACACACAGCTGGTCATTTTTGTCTATAACTTTTTTTTGGGAGTGAGAAAGTCCTTAAGAGAGGCGATTACAAAAAATATGAAATCGATCATAGAATCACAATTGTGATCAATTTCTGTATTCCTAAGACGGAATCAAGGTAAACGTAGACATCTATATATATAGATAATCTCAGGCTTGAGCCATATTAGTAATTACTAAGTAATGCTATAATGGCCGGCCAAGTTTATACATTACATTGGATTTATAATCTCATTTATCATAATTAAATTATAAGAAGTATTTATGTCTGTTATTAATACAGTGATAACATATCACATGATAAATTAAATGTGATACATAAATAACATTATTGTAATATTACTCTTGATTACTATTCCAAGTAATAATTCATAAATTAAGGCCTCGTTTGGCAACTGTCATTTTTAGCCAAAAAAGTTAAAAAAATTACTAAAAAAATCAAAAAGCGAACAATCCATACCAAAAAGTCAAAGATTCTATTTTCTCTCTATTTTTTGCACATATTTTCGTAAAAAGCTAAAAAATAATCTCAAACATACTAATTTTTTTTTACATCACATTTTAGTCCAAAAATCAAAAAATTACTAAAAAATCCTATTTTCAAACGAGGCGTAATAGTATTAGTATGTTTATTATTTTTGTGGATGATGCAGGGAGCGCTAGTGCTTCTGGCGATACCACCAGCAGCTGTGATAGGGCTGGGTTTTGTAATACACGAAGACAGAACAATTGATGTTCCCGCTTCTGACAAGAAAAATAAGGTATATATATCATCCTTCCCACTTTTCTTTCCATTCTAACCAAGCTAGTTTTGTTTTGGTCTTAAAAAAAAATAAAAAAATTATTATTGCTTTCTTCACATTAATTATCTTAACCAAGACCAAGAAAATACAAGTATTTTCTCTTAATTTATATGCTGTTTACATTTTTCTTAAGAACATATAAATTAATGTATGTCAGAATAGGATGTGTTTCGCTATGAGTCCACTTGAATGTGTCATATTTTTCTTAGGAAAAATTATATGTTGGTTTATGGTTTCAAAATAAATTTCAAATAAATGATAAAATTTATCTACTTTAATAAGTGGTGTAATATTTTTTTGGTGTCACAACCGATTCATAGATTTCCCTTTTTCTTAAGTGTGGGTGTTGGTCAACAAGGATAATTGGGTCATTTGCCTGTTGATATTCTAAAATTTAAGACAAGAATCAAGTGTGCCTTAAATTATTTTTTGATAATTGGGTCAACTTGTGCCAGTAGGACCCTTTTTTTTCATAAATAAATGTCCAGTGGAAGTATTATTTTTTTTGATCAAGTTGTAGTATTCTTGGAATAAAAATGTTCCATCCACATTATCTTACGTATTAGACACTGCCAACTGAATGACATGTACATTTGTTAATGAAGACTCTATTATCTTATATGTACATCTCGTTTGGAAATAAATTATTTTATTAATTTTTTAATTTTTTATAAAAAAATATATAAAAAAATAGAGAGTGATGTGATAATTTATAGTGATTTTTTAATTTTTTAATTTTTTAACTAAAATATATAGTTGACAAACGAGACCTTAGTAGGTTAAAAAGTTGAATAATGCTATATGTACAAATTAATGTATTAATTAGTATATTAATAGATGATGTGGCATAATTTTAGAGATTTTAAGTATTTGTAATTTGTATAATAGGTACGATCAATAATAATAGTATAACACTAGTTGATACATTAATGTGTACATTAATTGATGCATGTAGTATCATCATAAAAAGTTGGGTGAAAAACATACTGTAGTAGTTTTTTTTTTTTTTTTTGATCGGCAAATGTTAGTTATTAGTTGTTAGATTAGCAACTATGGAAGAAAATCTCTCCACCCTTGGCAAAGCACCTAAGTGTTTGCACTCCCTTAATTCAACCTGTCTAAAGGGAATTGAACCCATGACCTCCTTAGGACTAAGCCATAAGAAAGGTATGGTGGCCAACTAAGTTAGGTCTAGTTGGTTATACTGTAGTAGTTGTTGCAATACATTGTGAAAATGATCTATGAATAGAGTCCATGTTTGGTTTGGTTTACGGAAATTTCTTTGAGAAATTTTTTAAAAAAAATTAAAGTTAGTTTTGTGGAAAAAAAAAATGAAAGAAATTAAAAGTACTTATTAGTTTTATATAATTTTATCTTTTTTGAGGATAGAAATAATTTTGAAATATATTTTTGATATTTATTTTTATCAAACCAGCTTTATTTTAAAAAAAAAAATTAAAAATCTTTTCAAAAACACAAACCAAATACGATAGAATTTTTATACAAAAAATCTATCTAGAATTATGTGACTTTAACATTTTTAAAATTATGATTGATGATTTTAGAAAATGACTACAAAATGTCATATTTCATTTGTACGGGAACACTATGTACAATTTATCTGAGAAGTTAGGAGGTCAATCATTAGGAAATGAATGATTATTTCGCCGCTTTATATCTATACCTCATCTCTTTCGTGGCTCTCTTCCTCCCTCATCACAATTCTCTCCAATCTTCCCTTGTCGTGATATTCTCTTTCTTCCTTCTTTTCCTTCTCTTCCTTTTGTTGTTGCCATGTCTGGCACTCATCTTTCTCTATGTCATTCCAATCAAAAGCCTAATCCTAGATTTTTTAGGGAAGGGTTTGGAGCTGATAGGATGAGAAGGTTAGGGATTGGGTGGGTGTGGCGGATGAGGGACTTGAGAGGTTGCATCTAATGATGGCTGGTGATGGGGTGATTGGTGGTGGCAATGGCAAGTGATGGCGGGAGAGGGCTCGATAGTTGGTGGTGCACTACAACATATAAGAGTTTTAAAAATTAAATTTTTTAGCTTTTAAAAGTGAAAATTTTGTTGCAAAATAGATTTAATGACCAATTTGTATCGTTGTGAGAATAATTGCTAAAATGTCGTTTCGAAAAGTTAAAAATAAGACTTTTAGCGACAATTTTAAAAATGTTACTAATAAATACACTTTTAGGGACAAAATAATTTGGTCTCAAAATGGTATATTTTTTTAGACAAAAAATTTGGTCCCTAAAAGATAATATAATAATTCATCACTAATGTCCAATTTTTGTTGTTAAAAATATAATAATGACACTTTTCGCAACAAAATATTTGGTGCTTAAAAAATAATTTTTTCTCTAAATTTTAGTCTCTAAAACCTTAATTTTTTTTGTAGTGGTAGGTGGGGTATAGGAAGGATTTGAAAGTTGAAGATGAAGATATTTGAGAAAAAATTAAAAATTAAAACTGTGTTTGTAAGAACTTAAGTTGAGTAATGGTATCAAATGAGAAAAAATGGAGAATGAGAATATAATCTCCCTATACTTCTGCCTTTCTACTCTTTCCTTGATGTATCACATGCCATAGACCACACTCAACCCTAATAAATACATGTTTTTGTTTTAAGCTCTTCCACTTGAATGTGTCATATTTTTCTTAGGGAAAATTATATGTTGGTTTATGGTTTCAAAATAAATTTCAAATAAATGATAAAATTTATCTACTTTAATAAGTGGTGTAATATTTTTTTGGTGTCACAACCGATTCATAGATTTCCCTTTTTCTTAAGTGTGGGTGTTGGTCAACAAGGATAATTGGGTCATTTGCCTGTTGATATTCTAAAATTTAAGACAAGAATCAAGTGTGCCTTAAATTATTTTTTGATAATTGGGTCAACTTGTGCCAGTAGGACCCTTTTTTTTCATAAATAAATGTCCAGTGGAAGTATTATTTTTTTTGATCAAGTTGTAGTATTCTTGGAATAAAAATGTTCCATCCACATTATCTTACGTATTAGACACTGCCAACTGAATGACATGTACATTTGTTAATGAAGACTCTATTATCTTATATGTACATCTCGTTTGGAAATAAATTATTTTATTAATTTTTTAATTTTTTATAAAAAAATATATAAAAAAATAGAGAGTGATGTGATAATTTATAGTGATTTTTTAATTTTTTAATTTTTTAACTAAAATATATAGTTGACAAACGAGACCTTAGTAGGTTAAAAAGTTGAATAATGCTATATGTACAAATTAATGTATTAATTAGTATATTAATAGATGATGTGGCATAATTTTAGAGATTTTAAGTATTTGTAATTTGTATAATAGGTACGATCAATAATAATAGTATAACACTAGTTGATACATTAATGTGTACATTAATTGATGCATGTAGTATCATCATAAAAAGTTGGGTGAAAAACATACTGTAGTAGTTTTTTTTTTTTTTTTTGATCGGCAAATGTTAGTTATTAGTTGTTAGATTAGCAACTATGGAAGAAAATCTCTCCACCCTTGGCAAAGCACCTAAGTGTTTGCACTCCCTTAATTCAACCTGTCTAAAGGGAATTGAACCCATGACCTCCTTAGGACTAAGCCATAAGAAAGGTATGGTGGCCAACTAAGTTAGGTCTAGTTGGTTATACTGTAGTAGTTGTTGCAATACATTGTGAAAATGATCTATGAATAGAGTCCATGTTTGGTTTGGTTTACGGAAATTTCTTTGAGAAATTTTAAAACAAAAAAAATTAAAGTTAGTTTTGTGGGAAAAAAAATGAAAGAAATTAAAAGTACTTATTATTTTTATATAATTTTATCTTTTTTGAGGGTAGAAATAATTTCAAAATATCTTTTTGATATTTTTTTTATCAAATTAGCTTTATTTAAAAAAAAAATTAAAAATATTTTCAAAAACACAAACCAAATATGATAGAATTTTTATACAAAAAATCTATCTAGAATTATGTGACTTTAGCATTTTTAAAATTATGATTCATGATTTTAGAAAATGACTACAAAATGTCATATTTCATTTGTACGGGAACACTATGTACAATTTATCTGAGAAGTTAGGAGGTCAATCATTAGGAAATGAATGATTATTTTGCTGCTTTATATCTATACCTCATCTCCTTCGTGGCTCTCTTCCTCCCTCATCACAATTCTCTCCATTCTTCCCTTGTCGTGATATTCTCTTTCTTCCTTCTTTTCCTTCTCTTCCTTTTGTTGTTGCCATGTCTCGCACTCGTCTTTCTCTCTGTCATTCCAATCAAAAGCCTAATCCTAGATTTTTAGGGAAGGGTTTGGAGCTGATAGGATGAGAAGGTTAGGGATTGGGTGGGTGTGGCGGATGAGGGACTTGAGAGGTTTCATCTAATGATGGCCGGTGATGGGGTGATTGGTGGTGGCAATGGCAAGTGATGGCAGGAGAGGACTGCGATGGTTGGTGGTACACTATACTATATAAGAATTTTAGAGATTAAGTTTTTTTATTTTTAAAAGTGAAAATTTTGTTGCAAAAGACGTTTAAAGACCAATTTATATCGTTGTGAGAATAGTCGCTAAAATGTCATTTTGAAAAGTCAAAAATAAGACTTTTAGTGACAATTTTAAAAATGTCACTAATAAATACATGTTTAGGTATAAAATAATTTGGTTTCAAAATGATATATTTTTTTAGACAAAAAATTTGGTCTCAAAAAAATAATAATTCATCATTAATGTCCAATTTTCGTTGCTAAAAATATAATGACGACACTTTTCGCAACAAAAATATTTGGTCCCTAAAAAATAATTTTGTTCCTAAATTTTAGTCTCTAAAACCTTAATTTTTTGTAGTGGTAGGTGGGGTATAGGAAGGATTTGAAAGTTGAAGATGAAGATATTTGAGAAAAAATTAAAAATTAGAATTGTGTTTGTGAGAATTTAAGTTGAGTAATG